GTATGAGGATTCCTGTCCAGGGTAGGGCATTGCCCTAGGAGACCTCCAAGGTCCCTTCCAACCTTAGGATTCTGTGGATGAGTGGTATGGTAGTTGACTGGCAGGTCCACGAGCCTGGTCAGTCTTTCAGTCTTGTCTTGGATACAGGCACCTTAGAGACAGCATACGTTTCCAGATAAAAGATCTGGAAGACGAATGGGAGCGTCTGTGCCTCTCAAGAGGGGCTCCTCTACAGTCATCACACCACAGAGCCAGAGCGGGTAAGCCACCACTGAGGAGAACAGCAATGGATCCTCTGATGTAAAACGTGTCTTTGTCCCCTCCAGCCCATCTTAATGTACTCACTTTGTGCTGGATTTCTTATATAAACCTTCGGTTCATTCACCTTTATGTGGACTGTTATCCAGTCTTCCCTCCTCAGCTCTCACTCATGCATCACATGCATCTCACACCAGCGAGACACAACTCATAACACTTTATTAGATTGTGGAGTCCTTGGGGTTCTCTGAGCTTGGTTGTTTTCTTGCAAACATTTCATTACCCAGCTAGGTAACATCTTCAGTGTTGGTGTGGTATGGGGTTTGCTTTCTTTTTATATATTGTGGCATGCCCTGCCAGTGTTGGTGGGGGTGTGGGTTTGGTTCTTTATTAGATTGTGGAGTCCTTGGGGTTCTCTGAGCTTGGTTGTTTTCTTGCAAACATTTCATTACCCAGCTAGGTAACATCTTCAGTGTTGGTGTGGTATGGGGTTTGCTTTCTTTTTATATATTGTGGCATGCCCTGCCAGTGTTGGTGGGGGTGTGGGTTTGGTTTTGTTCTATTTTTTTCCTCTGGTAGTTCCTTGATTAAGGTATTGTTTACTGCTTGTATGCCTGGTGGTAATCTTGGTGTTAATCTCTGCTTATCTGGGTGATTGCTGGTGAGGAGATGTTCTGGTCTTTTGTTTCCTTTTGGTTTGCTCAAGATGTGAAAAGGCCCAGTAGCCCAAGAAGAAAAAACAGGAGTCATCTACAACATACAGTGTAAGGACTGTAACAACCCCTACTTAGTGTAGACAGGCAGAAGGCTGGCAGAGCGCATCCATGAACACCAACTAGCAGTCAGAAGACATGACGAAAACTCCTTAATCTCACAACACATGGACAGACTTAACCATAGTTTCGACTGGGAAACTGAATATCCTAGACCAAGCTAAATCCAAAAATGCGAGGGAATTCTTGGAAACTTGGCATTCAGACAAGGCAGCCATGAACAGGCACACAGAGATAAACAACATCTACACACCATTCAAAAGAGACAATAACAAGGAAACAAAAAACCAGAACATCTCCTCTCCGGCAGTC